TGGTTAATCAACCTCATAATAGTTCCAGCATCGAAACAGCTCCCAAAGTATGTCCTAAATGTCACAGTAACGATCACACATTAAATAATTGTCCACAGTTTCTCGCATTAAGCGTTGATGCTCGTATTAAACTTCTACCTACTTATAAGATTTGTTTTAATTGTTTTCGGTCAGGTCACTTCGCTAACAAATGTAAAAAAGCCGGTTGTAAACTATGTAAGCGTAGGCACAACACACTAATTCACATAAATTCTAAAGATAACATTATTGCGAATACACATAGTGTTAATTCGTCTAACAATAACTTGTCTTCATCATCCGTACCGTCTGCTACCACAGACACGAATAACGTTACGTTGTCAGCACACATTGCATCCTCTCAAGGTCATACGCAGCGTGATGTTTTATTATCGACCGCATTGATCAAGCTACGGGATCATACTGGCTGTGTGCATGTTGTTCGCTCGGTTCTAGACAGCGGTAGCACGTCGTCATTCATAACGGAACGGTTATGTAAAAAACTAAACTTATTCACGAGCCAGGTAAACAAATCTATACTTGGCATAAATAATGTTACTTCGCACGTAGGTAAAACATGTCGAGTTGATATGACGTCTTTGGATGATCGTTTTAATTTCAACCTTCATTGTTTGGTTTTGCCATTCATCACGAGTGAGGTACCGTGCCGTGAAATAAATATTAATAATTTCGATATACCTTCGAATATCACTTTAGCTGATCCTAAATTTTATAAACCCGCTGATGTTGAGTTATTAATCGGCGCCGACTTGTTTTGGAAATTATTAGGATCACAAAAAATAGAGTTAGGTTCCGGGAAGCCAATATTGTACGAAACCCGTTTAGGGTGGATAGTTTCCGGTCCGATTCTCTCTAATAATTTGAAATGTAATTTTTGTAAAGATGTTTCCCATGATCATAAATATGTTAGTTCATTTGATTTGCCAGAACAAAGATTATGTGAGAAAGAACCTTCAATTCTGGGAGATTCTTTCAAGAAAGCAACACACTGTTGCCAATCATTAGTCTCGCGGGACTTGCCAGCTTCGATTGACGTAGATATTGCACCTCACGAGCCCGACAAGTTACTTGGTCTGGGTCGGTATGTCTCTTCCGATGATGGTTTAGGGTTTCCTAAAAGTCTGAGCGAGTCCTTGGCTAGGCATAGTGAACGCGATTTATTATCATTGATACGAAAAGTGATTTCATTTATTTTAGTCGTTATTATAATTTATTTACATTAGGATTTATTAAATCACATAGGAAACAATACATTTTTTTTGTCTCATTTTAATAAAAAACACCTTATATTACAGTCCACACATCACTTTACAAAATAATTATTTAATTTCGAGCATAGACGTTTAATGCACACTGGCCCACATTTGCTATTAGCTCCCATAAGGGAATCATACTGGCCAAGGAGGTCGCAACTTGGCGAAGGCTTGTTCTCATAAGTGTGTTTCATGTCACCGTATGAAGGGACGGGTAGTTAGTCCTATACTGGGCAACTTACCACGAGAGCGACTTCGTCCAGGTTATCCCTTTGAGAGCGCGGGCGTTGTTTGTGCCGGGCCTATTATTGTGTGCTAGTCGTCGGGGTCGCATGTGCAGGCTAGTGAAGGTGTATGTAACCATTTAATTTTATTTGGATTTCGTTGGAGATTTAATTAGTTAGGGTTGTTTACTAGCTTTGCATCGATTGATTGCTTGAGGAGGTACATAAGCCCGTTGATATTTTTTCGGACAACGGTATCTCATTTATCGGTGCGTACAATGACCTTTCTCATTTGTAAAGGAAAATACTTTGGCCTTGGGTGAAAGTGCCGCGAATGATGGAATTAAATTTCATTTTTATCCCTGCGTACATCCCGCACTTCGGTACCTTCTGGGAGGCGAGTGTAGTCAACAAGGTACATCGTCAAGCGAGTGTTGGGATATTGTAATTAAACTTTTAATAAACTGTACACCACACTAACTAAAATCGAAGCCATTTCGAACTTTCATCCACTAACGCCTTATCTTCAGATCCTGCAGATTGCACACCGCTGACGCGTAACCTTGCTGCAACCTGATTATCCTGTTCCTGCAAGGATGGATTGAAGCTGGACTCCTTAGTGGCGATTAAGGAGGATAATCTCCCTCCGTTGAAGTGGAGACTAGGCCGTGTGGTGGCGGTTCACCCAGAAACAGACGACATCGCTTGTGTTGCTGACAGCCAGACGGCCACTGGCATCGTACGATGGGCATTCAATCGAGTCGGCCCACTACCTGTGACTTCGGAGTTTGGTTGAAACCGTTGCTTTCAACGCCCGGGGGCATGTTCGCGCGCCTGATGGTTTTTTCAGAGCAACAACTTACGCTCATGAAATGTATAAATTATGAAGAAATCTGAAAATTACCCCACTTGCTATACTTAACTGCTGTAGTTAGCACCCATTAAAGTTTATTAATTTAAAACCGTGTTCGAGTATATTTTTCCTGAGTCCATCCACATCAACCCTGGTTCCGTACACCTTCCTCAAAAATATGCTGACTCGAGAACTATGTCTCAGCTTATTCTCTCTTTAAACGCGCAGTCAAACTCGGGTCATCATCATTTAAAACAATGTCATAGTATTGTCTATAAGACCGCTGAGGGGCTCCTCCAATAACTTTCAGATCGATCAGTTAATTATAAAAAAAACCTTAAAAAAATCTCACTAAAATTAACTTAGATTATCTCCACGATTAACCCTCAACAAGTTAAAATATTCAATGCGTGACCTATAACTTGCAACACTTAGATATATGTAAATCACACGTTATTATGGCAATATCGAAAGGGAAATTATTTATATAGGGTAACCCTACACTGTTAGACATCAATGTTAAGTAGAATTAAATTGTTGGGGGGTTAGGGTAATTTTTTCTCATGGTTTATAATTTCCAGCTGGTTTTGATTTAATTAAATATGTTTTATTTTTATCAACTGTTATTATTATTTTGATGATGTTTTCGACAAATCAGATAGCAACTAATGACGTAGGGTAGACTTGAAGCACAAAAAAAAAAAAAACTAGCCAAAGCTGAACATAAGTCTTGTTTTGCTTCCATCCTTCCCTTTGACTATCGACACAAAAGTCCGCTGAAAAGTTCACTAGTTTCATCAACTGGTAAGTTACATAGAGGTCTAAAGTACTTTGTCTTTATCAAGAGTCTTAAAAAGTATCTGCCGGCAATACCACTAACAACACACATGACCTTCATACAATTGATCACAATGCTTTCTTAAATCAATAAGAACAAAAATATTAATAAAAGCCTTATGAAGATTATTCTTAACATAGATTTTAGAAAACATGTATACAAAAGTCGATCAATATTTGATCGTTCGTTTGAACCACGATACCAAGGCACTGGAAAAAGGATTCTTCTATAGTCTTTCCATGCAAAAGCATCCTGACACGCTGACCGTATTCGAAATCCTAAAAAAATACCATGCCGATACACCCTTATCCTAAACTTAACACACCCTTAACTTTGATTTGGCCACAAGAATGCAGTGTGAAATACATTGAACTTAGAATTAACAGTAATAACCTGGTACGCGGTCAAGCAAACTGTCGATTACGGTATGTATCATGAATAAGATTTTCTTTATATTACCTAAAGCAATAAAAATACGTTTACATTTGATCAAAGAAACGATTACATATTACACAGGGTCCCAGCACCGTCACACCTTTAAATCAACCCGTATAATTTACTGACAGTAAATCTTGCCCTGCGCACACGCCGTCAAAGGAAAAACAATTAGAGCCACGTGTCAGCCCTGACTCGTAATTACTGCCGCACCTCACCTGTGCACGCGATTGTGGCAACCCTAACTCTGTATTGACTGACTATTGACTGATCTTTTTTTAGTGCACTGTGAGCTTAGTTCAGATGTTTAACTTAGTTTACTTTGGACCGACCAACGGTTGGTAAACTTTGTTCTTACCATTAGTTTTAACTGTATCATAAAAAGATTCTAATTTTATAAATCCCCACCCTAAGTACAAATAGCTACATAAATATAAATTACGAAAAGCGTATGCTGCCCACCACACAACCACCTCCTATAGCCATCGTAAGGCTGGGAGCACAATATTTTGCCGATCGAGGCATTAATTGCGAGTCATAAAATCGATGAGCCATACATCCAACAATGGATCAAGCGAGGCGAGATGCGCCGCTACAAACGTTGTGACGTAAGAGTCGATTCGCGTATAAATCACATGAAGCCACGCTCGTGTGCACCCACCCTTAGTGTACAGTCCGTATAATAAATGTGCTTTTTAGGGTTAGTCTGAAATACTATCTGAATGTTTTCTAAATAATCGAGATGATAAAACTGCTTAATATTGCTTGTCATTTTTAAAACCTTAAAATTAAAAAAAGAGCTTAAATTTATATATTTTTGTTGATGTTGGTTTAAAAAAACGAGTTTTTTTTGAGATTATCTATCTTTGCTATTAGGCAATTTTAACACCAAATACTAATGAATAATGTAGGATTTTATAATACTCGATTTATAATGTTTGGATTTATTAGTAATACTAGTCTCGATGATCCCACAAAATGGTTAAGGGTCGCTAGTCTCCCCTAAGGCGCCTTTCAAAAATAACCGTATCTAAATCATTTGTGCTTCCCTTACAAGGCCGGTTCCACACGGGTGCACGCGTCGGCAGTCGTGCGCGGATGTAACACACCGCCCAATATAGTCGCTCCGACCCTGCCCATTAGCTTCAACTATCCGCCGGTGTGGGGCGCACCGATTTCATTGTGTGCGTCTTTTTGATTTTTTTGACATTTCTATGGACTAGTATGGAATGCATAGACGTGATTTGATTTCAAAATAGGATTATGTATTTTCACTAAAATATTTCTGATATTTCGGTTTTGATTAACAAAAAATATAAATAGGTATACACAAGCTTTGATAGTGTTACTGTTAATGAATGAGGTGGGTGAGCTCCGTGTACTGTTTCCGACACTGTCTAGTTGGTGAAAGTATCGAAACGGCGCCGACGGGACGGCACGAACGTGACCCGACGGATAGGGGTAAACTAAAGGATGGGAAATAGCATCCTCGGAGTTCTAGATGACCAAACGATACTTACCTAAGAATATATAGCTATACCAATACGTCGTGGTGTACTTCTATAGTTGCGGTTTCGGAACCTGGCACCAATATGACTTTTTCCGAGTTATATGTACTTTCTAACATTAATTAGACACCACTGACATACGATGATGGAAACATCGTGAGGAAACCAATCCAATCAAGGCCTCCTGATCAATTTCGACCATGTTGGATAGGAGACATCATATAAGTGCATTCTTTGTTTTTTCATTGTCTTACTCCGATGGAACGGCAGATCGACTGGGAAAAGAATTAGAGACGACAGATCTGCGACCAACGACAAAAAAGGGAAAACGTCGAGCAAAAAAGGAAAAAATATTTCAAGCAGTTTAACTTTTTGCGTGTCAGTCTGTGTGTCCGTCCTCTATTGAAGCTATTTTGTTTACCTTTATCCGTCCGAAGAATTATGTTACACGTTTGGTTAATAGTCAGTCAGTTAAGCCACAACTTACAAATGCTGTTTCAGAATTTTAGTTTGTTATGCAATTCGCTTAACGCATTTCAACTTAAGAGTCTACTGATAGGCAATACACACTAGAGATATTTCCGCCTTTTCAGGACTTTTCTCTTACGGATCGCCGAAAAGAACTGACAATGGTTGTCACGTTGTTTCAAATACAGCTTATAAATAAATTACCTCTGATTCTAGGCTCAGGACAAATTCAGCTCTGGCAGTTTCTACTGGAGCTGCTGAGTGACTCGAGCAACGCTGGCTGCATCACGTGGGAGGGAACGAATGGAGAATTTAAGCTCACGGATCCTGACGAGGTGGCGCGTCGGTGGGGAGAGAGGAAGTCCAAGCCAAATATGAATTACGACAAGCTGAGCCGAGCTCTGAGGTAAACTACCGGTAGCAACAGCCAGCGAGCCCTAGCGACTTACAGGGTACCCTTATTTTCCAAGGCGATATTTTATTGCTATGCGATTTTGTTTATTCATAATGGTATATTTTCTCAGACCTGCGACCGTCAACTATGAGTTGACTACCAAACAGCCGCATTTATTTGATAATTGTTTTTCAATTACACAGATATTACTACGACAAAAACATAATGACAAAGGTTCATGGCAAGAGGTACGCCTACAAATTCGATTTCCAAGGATTGGCGGCGGCCACGCAGCCGGCGGCGAGTGATCCAGCTTATAAGTACCAGAGTGATCTGTTCATGAGCTCTTACCACCACTCGGCTAAGCTCTCGTCTTTCATGGCCCCACACGCGGCTATGCCTACATCCACAGGTAATATTTATTTCCAAGCGATGTGCTCTGGCGATTTGTTTTATTGTGATTTAATGTTATTGTAGCTCAGCTCTATTCATCTGTTGTGATAAGGTCAGCTCTGTCCCAAATATTATTCAAACAGTTCCTAAAACGAAGTTTTGTCTAAAACCGTATTAAAAATGTAGTGCATCCACGACCCCAACAACTCGACACTGTTGTGCTGGTAATCTACATTTCTCTGCTAATGCTTCGGTACACTTGCGTGCACAAATATTTGCACGCCGCTCGAAAGGGGTTGTCATTGGCACGGACTGAGCACACTTGACTTAATGCAACATACTATTTAAACTCGACACTGTAGCGTATTGGAATTTTCAGTAACATTTCACTTTACTAGACGAAGATGTATTGTATTTTTGTATTTGACATTTAACAAGGATTGTTCGCTGAATTAGAATACAATTTAGTCAAAAATATTTTATGTGTCTTTTGTTTTTATCTATCAATGTTATATAATCTACTTAAACTTTATAATCTTTCAATTATTTTAATTTGGTGACAAGTCGACTAACATATAATATGAATTTAATGTTTTAAGAGTATTAATTTAATATCTCCGTAATAATATATTTTATTACTTAAATAACTCTTTACTTAACCTATACGCCGTTGTTGATCCATGTTCTCACTATGTAATCCAGTGTTAAATAGAGTTCATGGATTACCTAAAACTTATCACTCAGCGTTCATGTTAGTATTATAACTTTCTTGAGATATTAATAAAGGTTATTAAATTTTGTTTAACTGTTTACTTAAATAACTTTTCACAAAAGATAATCTGGTGTCCATGATTCAATAATATTAATCTGATTCTGTGACTGATAAAACGACGGCATCATTTATTTTTTCAGTAATAGTCAGATCTTATAATTCCTTATTTATGCTAAATTTATATGTGGAACATTTTTAGGTTTGGTTGGTTATTTAAATCACACTATTGACGTACTGATTACGATTAATTGTTTAATCTTATAATAAAATGTGATGTAACGCGCTGAATGCAAAATTTTGTATTTTCATTGTTTTGTGGATTTTCCCAAGAGCATTCTAAACTTTGAAAAATAGTTTTACTGGCAAAAAGAGGTCGTATCTAACCTAACATTTGGGCTTTATTATCAGCCGGAACCCGGAGCCTGAGTTTAGTCTGTGGACAGAGGCTTGAAATAAAATAAAAATGAAAAAACCTTTTTTCCAAGTTTAGTATGCTTTTGTGCGCGTCGCCTAGCACTTAATATCTGAGGTAAGAAAACTTTTGTTTCAGCGTCGATATTCCCATCTGCGTCATGGGGTAACTGGGGCGGTGGCGGGAGTAATCTATACTCACCACATTCCATGGCCCCACCTCATGTGACGTCACACCTCGGCTCCTACCCGCACTACGCATGACCAAGATAAAGCATAATAACGACGACAATCGACAATGATTTGCAATTTTAATTATTTAATTATAATACGAATACTTTTTGACACACGTTCTAATTTTAAATTATTGTTTTATTTTATGAAAGTTTACGACAGTTTTTGAACTATTAATTTATATCTCTATTATTTATTTTAACTTATGTGTATTTTTTTTTTTCATTCATTCATTTCGAATCGTTTTCGTAACATTCCTAGGACAAAATGTTTTAGATATATTTTTTAACGATGACTGTACATCAATTGCTATTGTGAACTGCCAGATTATGAAATAACTTTAAAATTACTGTTACCGCTTTGTAACCGTAGAATAGTAAAAACGAAAGGCTATTGGAGAAATTCACAATCTTTTTCTGGCAGGTTGATGTACTGACATTTGTATTTTAATTACAAAAAACAATATTTTTTTCATTACACGAGTCAGGTGGACCGCAACACTAGTCTTTTATCAAAGAATGATGTAAATAATAGATACTCTTTATAATTAAGTAGAATTATTTATATAGATTAAAAAAATAATGAAAAAAAATATTGGTCGTATGAAAATTATTGTAAAAATAACGAATACTTCTTGCTGATAAGCTGGTCAGTTTTTTGCAATAACATTCAACTTGATTAAATATGAAGTCACACTGAGATCTCTAACAACTTGATTATTATGTATAACATTCCATTAGTTTTATTTATACATTTTTATTCTAAATTTAAATTCGACTGGTCACTTTAAATGATTTTAAAATCGTTGCAATATTTTGCCATTATTTTGATAAAGTTATTGCAAAATTAGCTCAGAAAAGTATTCGCTAATCAAAAAAATTAAGCACATTCGCCTCTATACTTAAGCGATTGGCGGCAATATACCCAGTATTAATTAATATGTAAAATAATTAACTAACTTATATATTATAAGCCAAGATAAATTATTATGAGGTATACCTAAAGTAAGTATTTTTATTAAAATCCAAATTCGTTTTGAAATATAAAAAAAAAACTAAGCTCAAAATTTTTGTGCCATTTGTGCTGCGTAGGCAAAAATCGTCCATCTTGATTTAATAATTGCCGTGAATAAATAAGTACAGTGACTAACCTCTTTTGTACATAATTATCAGTATTATAGAAGCAATAATTTGTTATACTTATATATTTTAAGTGAGGAAATAATCAGTTTTACCATGGCTTCAGACAAAAATTTCACATTTAAAGCATAAAATATTTTTGTGGTCACTTTTGAAATTTCAAATGAGATTTATTTTTTATTTGAAAATTTGTTTAAATAATTCGTTTTAATTTTCATTACAGTAAACGTTTTTTGCGACAACCCTGATTAGGTGTGTCTGTCTAGATAATAAAAATTTTAAAACATCTTAGCTATAAAAGGAAATTTAAAAAACAGTCAATGGTGTTATTGTTTTCGATCTTACGTGATTTTACAGTCTCTTAATTTTTCTTCGCAGAATACTAAATTTTATATACAATTCTCACCCAATTTCTACGTTTCCATAATATTATTAAACTCATTATAGTTCAATTAAAACAATTCCATTATTTTCGCCATGATCTAAACCTATTCCAATATTAGTTAGTTACCAATGTTACCTTTTATTGTACCTAATAATACCAAATGTGAAGTTAGAGACGTGTATATAATGTTAGATTATTTTAAAAAAGTGCAATCGTATTAGGTATAGTTTAGATTTGAACTCTTCGTGTAATTTATTGTTGTTTTATTTCATAAAATGTATTTGATGGCCGGTAAAGGTTTCTTGAGTGATTTAGAGGGTTGTCATGTTAATTTAAATGCGATTTTACTAATTCGGTTTTGTACTAAATTACCCGAAAGAATACATTTCGTTTGCTAAACAGAAAAGAGGCCTAACTCAAAAAATAAAGTATTTCAATCTTAAAAATTATGCTTCAATAATAAGGTTCAATTTTGGAATATCCTTATTTTTGAGTTGGTCCTTTTTTCTATTTAACATGCGATTTATGGAACAAAGATATGCAGCAGCTACAGGCTCTTTGAATCCCTCAAAAAGTATATCTGTGCAACAAACATCATGTATACATAGATATTTTAAATGTTCATTTGAACGTTTAGATTGATTGGTCTTTGCGGTTTGAACATGATTTGCGTTGGGTGTCTTCATGCTAGGTTTCCACAAATAACTCTAATTGTTATCAAGTTTTTTTGAAGTTTCGTTCCTATAAACACAAGACATGTCTCCAAGACTGGAACGTTTTATTAAAATAATCACTAAGCTCATTTTTTACGGGTTTAGGCTTATTTCGATAAAATATACAAACTAGCATGAGATGCCCCGTTGAGTGAGAAAATGAATTAGTATTATGTAACTATAATAATCAATTTTAAATGTCGCAGCTAAATATTAGCAGTCATAATTATTTAGACTAAAATGTTTTTAGAATAATAATTTTAGTTAACATAAGAATTACCTATCTAAGTATTATAGTGATTTGCAAAAAGATTTCAGTCATTAGATTTTGATTTTATTTATTTATTTATATTCAGAAATTTTTCTCTATTTATTTTTAAGGTAATTTTAAAATTTTTTTCGTTATAATGCATGTGTCAATAATAATGAAAAACATTTAGTAGTAGAAGACCATTGTATAGATGTTATTGTATTTGAAAATGAATAAACAAATGAAAATGTACACGTTTTAATTATTTCCTACTAATGGCCTGTAATACAACCAGCTGTAGATGCTTCCAGCCCGCCTATAGAGTATGAAAATAGCGGTAAAAATACCTGTCCGTATGTGAAATCTTTTAAAGATACTAACCAAATCTAACTTCAATTCAAATGAGCACTAGTTCTTTTTCTGACACGTTATTCACGACTGATATGAGAACTACCTTTGCGTAGCGTACCTTTTAATATACAAAGCAAGGCATGTGCCATAACAAGTTAACTGTTAGAACTAGTAAACGTTAGCCTCTTGAGAGCACTTGATACTAATTTATTGCCCGATCAGAATCAGAGCCGAACGTACGACGCGTCTCGTTCCGCGCACACCTCAAAGGGCCAATAGATCACCACAGACGGGGCCCTATTGGGCTGATGTTTAGTCACGGTTGCGGGACAAGTGCAATAAGGCACTGCAGCTTCGGCGTAGAGCGGCCTAGAAAGAAACGGAGGGAGGCTAGACTATTACCGACTGGTAATAGTCTGACATCCCTTTCGCTCCACCCTGGGCAGGCGAAGACATTTGATGATTTTCCCTCAGAGAAGAAAGGTTTTAGCTGTGTAAGAAACCCACACAACGCATAGTTTTTCTTTTCAAAATTCTAGCGGTTCTTTGTAGGTTTACCTCCATTAAATCATCAATAATCCAAATTGTCCATTAGGCTTAATAAACTTAAGATATAAACGGACGTGTTAAAGTCAAAGTATTAGTTTGATCATTTAAAACGTCAAACTTGAATTGTTTGTCGGTCCTAAAATGATGCTAGTTAGTCGTTGCAAAACGTGGATTCGTATGGCGAAAGAGGAAGAAACTCTTACGTCTTTCTTCACAATTACCTGATAGTAAGCAATCAGCGCCGCCCATGGTCACCCGCAACAACAAAGTGGTTACGAGTGCTTTGTCGACCTTTTAGGGATTAGGGATTGGGGAGGAATTGGAAGAGGGGAAGGATTGGGCCTTCGGTAACCTCAGACGGCGACAAAACTGTGGTTGTTTCGCGTGCGTTCGTGCAGCGGAATGTTGTTGAATTTAAAGATTTTAATTATGCAGATATTTAGTGTATGACGTCGTATAATTGTGTATGGTAAAAAAAAATTTGTGCACGCAACCATTGTGGAGAAATTCACCAAAAACTGATTCCGCTGGGCGAACGTTGTCCTGGCGGAACTTTGAACAGCCGCTTTTTTGTAGCCATCCGAACTTGGTCGGGTTATGTAGGTTTTCGATACTTCGTCAGTATTATAATTGTTTTTCTTTAATTACTGAATTTAATGACATGAAATTTTGCATGTGAATTGTTGAATGAATACACTAATTATTGGCATACATTTTACCATGCAATTCATTTAGGACGTCGTGATATTTGACTGCTTTGTAAACAGTGATCTATTCATGGTAAATTTGTCCTATAACTATTTAATTACTAACGGAACATCATTGATACTTGGCAACATGTTGCAGACACTTACAAGGTTTGTATAAACGTGAAAATCTAGACCCTAAAGTGCATACTTTAAGAGCTAAGACCTAATAAGCGTATTTTACGTTTATATTTTTATCTTTTAAACCCTACGATTTTTTCTAAATCTGTTTTTTAAACAAATATACACAAATTCAAAACAACGTAAGTAAAAATCTACAGCTCTCTATGTAAGCGCTTTATATGAAAACTAGCTAATGGCCAAACGTTCGCGTAGCGGAAACTTGAATTTCTCCGAAGTTTATGCATGCACTAGTTTTATTCATACATACACAATTACACACAAATACACACTAATATTTGGATACATCTCTTTTCTTCTAAAGTCTATGGATTAAAAAAAGTTCCGCCAGGACAACGTTCGCCCAGCGGAATCAGTTTTTGGTGAATTTCTCCACAATGGTTGCGTGCACAAATTTTTTTTTACCATACACAATTATACGACGTCATACACTAAATATCTGCATAATTAAAATCTTTAAATTCAACAACATTCCGCTGCACGAACGCACGCGGTTGTTTCGCGCCGGTTTTCTGTGAGACCATGGTATCACTCCGGTTGAGCCGACCCATTCGTGTCGAAGCATGCCTCTCCCACACTTATATGGCCATGGAAAATGTTTCGATAAAAACTTACTGTTAAATCTCTAAACTCTAAAGAGAAATTTTCGAGATCCAGTGTTAAAATTTAAGATACCATATCGATTGACATTAAACATTAAAAAAAAAACATATTTTTGCATTGCATGCATGGTTATTGCTAGTTTATACTATTACATCATGACAGTAAGAGTGTTAAGATTCAAAATATTTGTCCTTTACGACAATTTTGTGACCGACAGTGCCATCTAGGAATGTAAAGGAGGATTCGTTGCCACCCTCGCACCGCCCTACCCTCCCGTTTTCTACCCTCTTTCAACCCTCCGTAGCGTTGTGAGTACTCCAACTTATTCGTAGATGGAACTGTTATCAGTATTCATATTAAATTATCCCTGTCATTTTTGTAGATACTTTTTATTATCCTTGGAAGTGTATCAAAAACTAGCAGCTTAGATGTTAATATAAATACTTTTTGGATTGTTTTACCGTTAAATATCATAATTTTATTTATTCTTTGCTAAGCACTTGACCTGAGTGTTTATCGTTTTATTGTTGTAGTTTTCCAAAAAAGAATCGATAGTAATTATTTTCATATATCTGCTTTTTGTTATAATCAAAAATTGGCAAAATCTTATCAAAATTATAAAATAAAGTCTATAAAGCAAAACGTATATGTTTCCGCCCGGGATTGAACCGGGGACCTTCTGCGTGTTAGGCAGATGTGATAACCACTACACCACAGAAACTGTGATTAATGAGGCTGAATTTCAGGTTTGCTTTCATCTGTGCAACATTTTCAAAAGCTTATAAAAACTAAATTTGAACGAATTTACAAGAATTTCTTTGAATTTCCTTAATTGGAACAGAGACAGTTGCGATTTTTATAATTTAAACTAAATACTCATCATACATATTTTAAATCTTCATTAAATCTAAGAATACCATTACAGTTATAATTTCAGAAACTCCTTTTTCAAATAAAATTCAGATTCTATTAGTATACAAACGACAAGCACTAAATAACAAAAGAAAATTACGCGAAAAATAATTGAAAAAATAACAAGATTTCAAGGAAATGTGGGTGCGATCGGCACGAATGGGTCCGTCTCATGTACCTACGTCAGGTTTGAGGAGCCACATCAGATTTTTAAATCTGATTTCACCATTATTTAGCAGCACAGTAGCCTATTTTGCGGCACGAATTCTAGATTTAGCAGCAAAATATATCTCTAGTTATTTTAATGAAAAGGTGGCTCCTCAATCTCAACATCTGGATTGAGGAGCCTGGAACCTGGAACTTGGTAAATGATAGATGGATATTTATGAAAATTTTGCCTCATTTAGCAGCAATTTTGCATATCACAGTCTAAAAATTTTGCTTCAGTAGCCATAAAATGGAAGAAAATACAATATTTTATAATATGGCTCCTTAAAACTCAAGAGATGCATTTCTATTAGATGTGAGCGATCAATCAACGATCGACGACGAGCGACATATACTCAACATAAATAATGTTTAAAGTTAAAGTGTGGGAGAGCCATGCTTTGTCATGTTTGGTTGGGTCGGCTCGACCGGAGTGATACCATGTGACACCATGGCCTCACAGAAAACTGGCGTGAAAAAAACCACAGCGTTAAGTCGCCGTATAATGGAGGTTACCAGCTGCCCAATACTTCTTCACTTTATTAATATTCACACAAACGGTTTGTTGTGGGAAAGAACATTTGACAAGAGAATGGACTGAATATTAAGCGTAATCATGTTTTGCAATTAACCGCTACCTACTCGAGCGAAAAATGTATAAAATCGCATAATTTTCCTAGAAATAAAACAACTGGGTATTAAATAAACAAACTATATTTATTTTTATTAAGTACAGCTGCATACAAATAAATCAATAGACTCTAGGAACCGGAGGGATCCACTTGACTTCGTCATTCATAGTCTTGTCAATAACCGGCCTAAACGTAATGTTTACTTTGCCTGTATTTAGATCTATCGTAGACAGCGAATGTTTCCTCCAATGTTCCTCAAAGGGCTTCTTTGTCTAAAAGAACAAAATATTTCTTTTAAAGCATCATTCATTGTTTCTACTATTGCTTCTCTTTTGATACCTGCTTAAAATATTTTTCCCAAACAGTAAAGTATAATTGAATTATTTAAGTAAGTTCAGAAGAGGTTTGTACGTAGAGAAAATTTAAAAATCTTGAAAATGTGTAAAATATATTTCCACGCGGGCGGAGCCGCGGGCAACTGCTGGTATATTATATTTTTGCATCCGTTATACCCCATCATCATCATATCAGCCACAGGACGTCCACTGCTGAACATAGGCCTCCCCCATTGACTTCCAGATAGGCCGGTTGGAAGCGACCTGTCCAACATACCTCAGTGCCTTATACCCCATATTTATTTCTAAATGTGTATTATAGATGGTATACAAGAATTAAAGCTACAGAACAATTATAGACCCTGTTAGGGCACAGAAATATATTTAAAAGTAATTGGAAGAAAAAAAAATACCATTAAGAAAATAGGTTACCTGGCCCTCCGTTGGTTTACTGTAGTCGAATTCATCTATTCGTTTAGGAAAATCGTCTCTAAAGTGCGCTCCCCTGCTTTCCTTCCTATTTTTAGCACAAGCTACCACCTGCACAGCACACTGGAGCATATTTTGCAACTCCAAGGTTTCTATCAGGTCAGTGTTCCAGTTCGTCCGCTTATCAGTCACTCTGATGTCTTCAAAAGCCTTGTACCATTTTTGAATTTCCACATCAGCTGTGAAAAAGTTCCAATTAGTTACAAATTTGCGCATTAGTTTAGAGTTTCCTTCAAGACATTTTTAACAAATTCATGTGGGTAATTATTTTAGAAACGTTTCTACATCTTTTTTTATATCTGATTACAATTATTAAGAATCTAGGTGTTAATCGGCATTGCATATTTATCTTCTTACCTTCATCCAATAGTTTGGCCTCTCTGAACACTCCACATTTGGCCTGCATGGTCTGCCTCATCGCTTCCCTTAGTTCATGGACTGGAGCACAGCCGTTTGCGTTTTTCACTTTTTCTAAGTTATCCAGAGAACAATCACAGAGATTCTGAAACAAAAACCATATATTATAGAAAAAAATGTAAAAAGAAAAATGTAAAATGTAAAAAGGATTTTTCGATCCAGCGCCTACGTCATAGGAAGTCAAAGGTATAAATCAAAGACTACATTTCCCATCATCCAGTCTCAGTCCCCACCCTTTTTTGATTTTCTAAAGGTGAAAGTCAGGGCGAAATTGTGATTCAGCCAGCACACGATGCATTGGTCTAATTTATTTCAAATTCTGTACGAACATTTTGTTACAGAATTAATTTAGATCTGATTCTTTTTTTATTAAAAACAGAGTTAAGGGGGAAGAAAGGCTTATTTGTATTGAGTTGCTATCCCCATATCCTCTTTTTTAACACCAAGTCAACAGTAAACTATCCGTAAAACCCTGACAAGTTTCCAGGGTTTTAATCGAGAAGGTGTCGCAATAGACAAGGGATTCACACGACTACCTTTCAAGCTAGAAAACACACATTCATAAGCACACTTACGTCTTTCAGGGTCATTTGTTTATCGCCTGGCTTAAAGTTTTGCGATATAGTATCAGCTATTGATTTTCCGAATACCACGATATCTAAAATGGAATTAGCTCCCAGCCTGTTGGCTCCATGAGCATTACTGACCACTTCCCCGGCAGCGTAAAGGCCTGGGACTGTGCAGTCTTTGCCACCTTGGTAGATTAAGACCTGTGGAAAAAAGAAAATTAGACAGTGCTAACTCTATTTGTGAAATCAGTATACATATATATTATTATTATTGGGTGACTAAGAATCATACTGAAGCCCCAAACAACTAGCTGTAAGATCTACAGGTATAAGATGAACGTTCGAACTCTAAAATGGAAGATATGATTCAGATATCATTAGAATTCAATGGCTATCGGGTCCAAAAATGTGCTTAAAGAAAGTTTGGGCTAATTGATAATTGTTGTGAGAATATTCTTTCGTTATTATTTCTGTAATCGTTTGGTTATCACACTTCCATTGTAAAATAACGGATGGGATATTTTACCCCAGTTTTCTTTTCACTTTGATCTTTCCAGCCAATTCTCGCTGAAGCATGTTTTACCCATGTAAGACATCTTTTTACGACTTAGCAGCTACCCATTCAAGTGTCCGGAGTAGTTAGTTACTTCTAATAATGAAAGAATCTTCCATATAACTGCTGTACTTCTGTATTCGCCTGGATAGGAAATATGAGTTTAAACTTACCTCTCCTTTGTAGTTGATAGGAACACCACCCATAGTGTAATGCACAGTGGGTAGAACAGGTACAGGTTGGGTATACACATCAGCCCCTGTGAACGTGAATGCAGACTCCGAGATACCGGGTAACTTCTCCCTTATTAGCTCCGCAGGAAGATGGTGCAGCTGGAGGTATACGTGATCTTTCTTTGGTCCTACTCCCCGACCTGTAGAACAAAATATTACTTGGACATAGCTTACTCAAGACATCGTAACAAAATGTGAAAACGCTGTGCGCACGAATTTTTTTAAGTTTACTAATGCTGTACTCAGTAAAATGAAATGAAATGTTTTATTAAATCCTGAAGACCACAAGACGACAGGTCAGTTTGTTTTAGCGCCATCTGTAAGCACTGTTATAAACCATGGTTCAAAATACTTATTTCTGTTATTAAACATCCCATGTGTCTGGGGTATTACGGTCTATTCTAAAGTCATTGTAATACAACAACCACTCAACAGATGGCGCAATCAAATAATTTTGCTTGCGTTGATTCGCTGTGCGAGTGATGTTACCGGAAGCCCTAAAGTTCTAAATCTCCAAATACCCATGCTTAAATTCTCTGGTCTATATTGCAGACCAACCTAATAAACAAATATAATATATCCGAATGCACGACGCTTGTATGATGTCAAAAGCTAAATAAATTAGTAAGGAAGGTACTACTTCGTACTCTACGATGTCTGAGTAACTCAGTGACAACCTCGTGGCGAGAGAGTATTTTTTTAACATGTTTAAGGAATATGTCTGCTTGCCCAATTCTCTATCCTTGTTTTAGGAATATATCGCTAATTCTCATCTGCACAATTAACGCAGTGAAGCGTAGTAATAATTTACCTTGACGAATCTCCGTGGCCATTGATCTAGACACCACATCACGGCTCGCCAAATCTTTAGCTTTCGGAGCATATTTCTCCATGAACCGTTTGCCTTCACTGTTCACTAGATATCCACCTTCTCCTCGGGAACCTTCAGTCATCAAACAGCCTGACCCATACATGCCTGCACAAGGGATTCAGTTAACAGTTTGGTTTGCAAAAGTCTAGCAAAGAAAAGCTCGGGAGAAATCCTATTTTTTTAGTAAATATCAAATTCACATATGCATTGGGAGTAGAAAGAACTACACAATAATAAAATGCGCCGCTTGCTCTAGGCTTCACGTGGTATAAACATTTTTTTTTTTTCAAAAGATTCATTATAAGTTTCCTCTTTGTTACTAGTTATTTCACAACTAAGCTGTTTAGGTATCAATGTATGCGCGCCAAAAGGTTAATTGGCTGTAATAATCGAGGTTATTATAAACTACTTTTTAAGTGTGGGAGAGCCATGCTTCGGCACGAATGGGTCGGCTCGTGATACCACGGCCTCACAGAAAACCGGCGTGAAATAACCACTGCGTTGTATTTCGCCGTGTGAGTGAGGTTACCGGAGGCCCAATCCTTCCACTTCCCCAATCCCTCCTCAATCCCTAAATCTCCAAATCCCTAATCCCTAAAAGGTCGGCAACGCACTCGTAACTCCTCCGTTGCGAGTGTCCATGGGCGGCGCTGATTGCTTACCATCAGGTAATCCGTCTGCTCGTTTGCCGACCGAGCTATTACATAAAAAAAAAACTACTTATTATAAAACTTAAATATAAATAAAATAATATAAAACTTTAATGTCTATGAAATTCATAACATAATACAACTAATAATAAGTTGCAATTTTACAAGAAAATCTTTAAAAAAATACATTTACACAAGGTGAATGTATTTTTTTATACGCGTCAAACATTTAACATACATAAAACCTTAAGAAATAGTAATTTTTTTATGAAGTTTCGTATAGAATAGCTACCGGAATTAAATTCTCACATTGATATTGGAAGTCAATTGAATGATTTATAAAATGGAGTTTCTTGCTTGAACATCAACAATCTAGAACAGATTCAAATGATGTAGAAGAGCTTCATTCAAATCATCTACACGCTTTGGAACGGGCATCTAGCTTAACTGATTGAGCGAGACTATTCTATTTTGACGCTTTAAAAGTGCGTGTTTATAGTTTAGTTACATAAATAATTTTGACTTTAGACTTTAAATCGATATGTTTTCATAGTTTCCTGTGTTACGGAATTTGACGCGCGATCATCGAGGGTAGATGAAAATGAATGACCTTCATCGACGGAGTAGTATCGGCGAACAGTCTGCCTATGATCACGGCAGGTATAACCCTGACGAAACGTCAAGCAAAAAACAAAAGGTAACTGCGCGTTAAATTCCGTAACACAGTAAAGTATTAATATGCAACGCGAAAGTTTAAATTTTAAGTAAGGGTATTAACGCGGAAAATTATTATTTGAATACTTTGGTAAGCAAAACACAACCTCGCTTTCCTTTAAAGTCGGTTAACACATCTGTAGATATAGTCAGCGTAGTGTGTAGACGGCCTAATATGGTAGAAAATGAAAATAAGGGGGTAGATGAAGATTCATCGCTCGAATGCAGGGAGCTGTGACATCGCGTCTTCAGTCTGCTTGTGCCCACGACCTGTGTAACCGGGTCGAAACGTCAAGCGTACCAAGGTATTCAAATAATATTTTTTTGCGTTAATACCCTCGTAAATATAGGTGTATGTTATTAATATGAAACGCGAAAGTTCAAAAGTTTGTATAATATAGCAAACCGATGCTTTCAGTCATCCAAATCTTGGAAATCTTTTGTGTATGAAATTTTATTACCATATATATAATATATTTTACCAGTTGGATGAAACTGGATGAACTCCATGTCTTGAAGTGGGATGCCAGCTCTGGTAGCCATCGCCGTGCCGTCACCAGTACAAGTGTGAGCCGCAGTACATGAGAAGTACATCCTCGGGTAGCCACCAGTGGTTATTACTGTGTTCTTTGCTTGGAACCTGTTAGAAAAACATTATGAAACTAATTGAAAAAGAAACTCATTAAAAAAGAGAATGGATTTTCTTGCTCATTCGTATCCATCGCAATCTAGACTTTGGAACGAGCAAATAGCTTCTTTAAGAGGACTGTTCGACAGACTGACTTTTTAACTGTAAGCTTTTGTTAATTTTCAGCAACATTCAAAAGTGCCTGTAAAGCAGTGTAATGGTCTGATTGAAATTAATGATTTTGACTTTAAAAACTACGTGAAAATAAGACAATAAACTCTACAGAAAGCATGAAACAGCGTAATTCCCTATCAACTACTTCGTACATATTAGACTTGATCCTATTAGCCGTAGATATGGCAGTAGTTTGTATTACTTTGTAGACATAAAAACTTTAGTACGATCCATGTAAAGATGGCTTCTAGATTCAATTGTGGAAAGCGACGGTTAAAAGCTATAAAGTGCCGAATTTATTATTATATAATGCTAAATACCGGTGCAAACTCCCATCATCCATGTCCATGGCGAGACATCCAACTACTTCTCCATTTTGTACAAGGAGGTCCAGAACAAAAAACTCGTAGAATGGATCGATATTCTTGTATTGGGTACAGTATCCATAAAGAGTGTGAAGTAAAGCATGACCAGTACTGTAATCAGAATAATTATTTAAAACTAATCATGAAACGAGGTTTTCAGGAGGGCTTGTTTCGGTATTATATTATAGCTTCCACCTGCGACTTCACCCGCGTAGTATTATGATAAAAAGTAGCCATATCCTATTCCGGAGTGTATCCTACGCCTGTGCCAAATTTCATCCAGTTCCGTCCAACCGTTTTGGCGTTATAAAGTAACAAACATCGAAACATCTTAACTTTCGCATTTATAATAATAGTAAGAAGTTAGAAGTAAGATATACATGCATCTAAAAATGTTAATATTATCAAAACAATAGTTTTGCAAAATTACTTTCGCTGATTGCGCGCTTACAACAAGGAAGCGCAGACAAATTCCGATTAGGCACCGTCGACCTTTAGTTTTGGTTCTTTCACAAGATATATTACCGCTTTAGTTCTTTTATCATTAAAGGACTAATTCATAAACTTAATACTATACTACACTATAAGACCGTCGTTTGTTGTTGCATAATAAAAACAGTTACGCCCAAACTAAAACAATGGCTCTCACCACGATCATTCAGATTAGATTATATATGTATAGTACAGAATGTATATGTTATAAGACGTAGAATAAACCGTCCCAAAAAGTGTAAAGCCTAAATTCAGCCGAAAGCCATACAAGTCAACCAAACGGAGAAATTCACGAGAAAAGCTAGTTATAAAAACTATAGGGCTCCTCTATTTACCTCATTCATACGGCAAAACAAACGCAAGTATCGGTATCCTATTTGGGCAGAAACTTAGCTCTCCCGCTCTTGAAAACAACCTACCTAATTGTTCTTATAAATAATGTCATAAAACGATATCAAAGAACAATTAAGAAGAAGATTGGCTTCGAAGTGAAGTAAAATATGTTATGAAAAATAACGCAATTTAACGTGTAATGCAAGAACCATAAAATAATTACACGAGGGCTCAGTGTGGTTAGAAATTAATTTGTAGTGCATTGAACTCTAGGAGGAGGGCTGATATCAGAGACGAGTCTGAACTGTTAATACAAAACATACTTCTGTTTTTCAAGAATTTTCTGCATTACGTCTTCATCGGTCTATTAAATAATCAGTGAAATTCCAACTTTTGTTCGCCACCCACCTTTCAACCATGCGTGTGTGTGCGTGTCAGCGTGTGTGTCAAGTTATACGTTTTGCTAGTAACATGATATGTCATTGTTTACTACAAGATTTCTGACCTATTTATTCGTGCTTACGACAACTTTTACGCTCGATGGGGTCGTTGTTCAATAGAAATTACCTTCGATAACAATATAGGTTATTTTTGAAACTTTCTGTTAAAGCTACTGATTTATTTGACACATTAAATTGGTCTCATTTTTATGGCAAACGCGCCGGCGGATTGTCTGATGGACACTCGCAACATTAGAAGAGTCGCAGGCGTGTTGCTGGCATTTTAAAACAGAAGAACGCACTTTTCTTGGTCTTTTGTAGGTCGTACCGGTTAGAAAATACCGTCGCCGAAAGATGATTCCAAAGTTTCGCGAAACTGATCCAAACGAAACCAATCACGTCTCTGCCGCCCGAGGCTCGCCCGCGTGGTATGTTGATAAATAAGCCTATGTCCTATTCCGGAGTGTAACCTGTGCTAAATTTCATCCAGATCTGTCCAACCATTTTTGCGTGATTGAGTAAAAAACATCCAAACATCGTAACTTTCGCGTTTATAATATTAGCAAGATATCTAGGCTGTAAATGATGTTTCGCAACAATGACAAGGTTCTAATAAATTGAATAGTTGTAAAGTGCCTACCGGTCGGCAACAGCACATGTCCGTTTGGCCACACTTTTTCCAAAGTTTATGGTCCCGCCACCAAAAGATCTCTGGTAAATCTTTCCTTCCTTTGTCCTTGAAAACGGCATGCCCATGTTCTCCAGCTCTATAACGCATGTTGGAGCATTTTTCGTCAAAAAGTGTATTGAATCCTGGAAAGAAGAATAATCAATAAAATGTTTTTTTCTATTCAAAGACCAAATCCCGCTCCAAAAACTAGCACTCGCACTCCCCTAATTTTGTGAGCGTCCATAGGCGGTACTATTTGCTCACAACCAAGTAATCTGAATTTCGTTTGGCGCATATCACGCTCCGATAAAAGTGGAATCAATTTTATATAAAAAAATGGTGTTCATAGGTTTAGTCATATGCGGTCCGTAAACGGTATATTATTCCCATATGAACAAATCTGCGGGTGGAAAATTTAAGGATTTTCACTTGTGCAAAATAAATTTTATTACGTAAATTTGACTAAATTCCTTACCTGATCACCAAGCCAATCTGAGCCCTTTACCGTATCATAAAAATGAAACTTCCAATCGTCCGGATGCATACTTCCTGAACAAATTAAAAGTGATGGATTAATTGAAATACTCAATCTAAAACATTAAAATATAATTCAACAATCCCCAACATTTTTTTTATTGTGTTTCGCAAGCTGTCTTGCAAGAAAATAGACTAAGTTGTTTTTCTTATTACAAAAATGATCTTCCAGACAAACATTCAAAAACTAGTCTATTACCTATTAATCCATACATATTCTTGTTCATTAATTGTCTTTGAGTTTAAAGGGTTACACATTCATCCATAACAAAGTCAAAATCATTTATTCCAAATAGACTACAGCAGGCACTTGGGAAAGTCAAACAATTTTTTTTTTTTTTTAATATCTTCCTCTTTATGTGTGTCAGTCTGTCCATCCGTTGTCTAGTTAAGCTATTTGCTCGTTCCAAAGTGTAGATTCCTATGGAGAAGACGAGCAAGAAACTCCATGGTTCCTCTGTTTCAGTTTTACAATTCAATTTAATTCATTTCTTTGTTACTTTTGTACTAAGTACGAGTATCTGTTGCATTTATAGTAAATACGAATATAAATTTAGAATAAAAACTAAAACATTTCCACTAACCAAGGGCAGCGTTCATGCCTCCCTGTGCTGCAGTCGTGTGAGAACGTGTCGGGAACAGCTTGGATACCAAAGCTACACTGAATTTGGCTTCAGCGAGGCCAACAGCGACTCTGAGACCGGCTCCTCCAGATCCAATGATGACAACGTCGTGCATATGATGGTGGATTGTGTATGCAGCATTACGATAAAAATCTATAGAAAAGAGTAAATAAATAACAATTCAAAGTATTCTGTAAAATATATGTAATTATGCATGGTTATTAGGAGATTTTCCTTCTTTATAAACAAATCCACATTGCACCTAGATCGGATATGAAGTTAATGCTGAGTGCTTTCCATTTTCATTATTAGATATAATCTATCAACATAATTACATAATAATTTTATGCGCGCCGCAGCACAATTCCATTTGAGCAACGTTTGCTTTCGGTATTGGATTACAAATAGCTTCTAAGATAAACATCGAGGAAGGAAAACATCGTGAGGAAACCTGGACTTATTTCTATCTATATATTTGAAATTGCCAATCCTCCTTAAGCAAGCTCAATTCGTGAATAATGCTCAAACTTTCTCAGTTGAGAAGAGGCCTTTGCTTGCCAGTGGGCAGTTATAGGCTGATTATGTGTGAGATAACTGGCCACTAGTAGCGGCACATAAGCCTTGGGTCATTCCTTAATGTATTTCTTATCAGTCGATACCTAGCTTTTGATTCATGTAAATAGTAATATATTTTTTTTGAATTACGTAGTTTATTTAGGAAAAAGGCAGCTAGCATTTTTTTAATTTAGAATTGAAATTTGGATATTATCTCGCCTGTAGGTAAGCAATGATGCGAGCTATCTCGGAGCACGTCCATAAGCAAATTATTCTAATTCTATCTGGCCTGGCCTTAAGACACTTTGGAGAACATAGACTACCATGATTAACTTACTAGCCCCCGGCTTTGACAGCCTGGTATATTGATAAAAGGCAGCCCATGTACCAAAATTTACTACTAATAAATCAGTCCATCTATTTTCACGCCAAAGAATAACAAGCTTACATCCATATATTCTCAAAAACTTTCACATTTGTATTAAGTATTAGAATAGAAGAAAACGGTATTTATATAAAAAAATTAGATCAACTAAATCTAGACGTTTTTTACATTTATATTTAGGGACTAAATTAAAAGTTACTTACATTTCGTTGGTAATTGACGGCGTATAATTTTTGCAATCAAACATGATTTCTGTAAATGGGCAGAGTTAACATTTTAGGACGCTACGTATTCGAGTGAAAGACGTTTTTTTTTTTAAATTCTGACCTTGACAGGGACCGACAGCTTTTAAACTGTGCCTTACATATGTCTTTAGTGTAAAATTATGCAAACTAGAGGCTCCTAGTCGAACAATTAATTGTCACGGGAAAGCTATGACAAGAGGTGACCTATGTAAGATATAATATGAAACAAAATTACCCTTGCAAAATGAATCATGACTCTTCTTAATTAGATACTTATAAAAACGTAGGTATTTGAAAATATTACAAATATTCCTTTTTATATTATTACAAAAAAACGGAACACCACATGTGTGGTTCCAAATGATTTGTCAAGTTTTGTTATGTAAAAATGTTTGTGTAAGGAAAACTGTTCGAAATGTAACCGGCCAGTATTAATTGTCCGATTCGAAACAACCCTTTTTGGTATATTTTAATATTTATTCTTTGAATTTTATTTTGATTGAATTATATTTTTGATTTTGTTTGCCCACGGTCGTGCGCTTTCTAGGTTCGCCTAGCATTTTCACTAAGTTTTTGTTGGGCATGTTGCAAAAAACTCTCTTGAGGTGAGGCGTGATTATTTCTTAATGATTATGAGCTGTTAGACGCTGCGTGGTGAATCTGACTGTCCAGAGATAGTAGGACAGGTGGTGCGGTTATCAGTACCCAGGCTGCTTACACACCAACTTCGGCCGCGTCAATATCCCTTATTGGTTGTACCAGAGGCACGTACAGTGGCCCATACAAATTCTCCGTTGGTCCGAGTTCTTACCATGCTCAATTCTCCCCTGATGTCAGCGCCAGATTGTGATTTGTTTGCAACGAGATAAATAGATCTGTGTCGTGAATGTCTTAGATATTGTGAAAGGATGGATGATAGGTAGGTAAATTATAATGTTTGTTTTAGTTTACGATTACTATGATTACCAATCTTATTATTCAGTTGTATTAAGTACTTTAATTTTGTTTTTTAAATTTGTATTGTTTTTTTGGATTTAATCCTAATTAGTTTTTTAAGTACCTAGATAGATGGTATTTATATAAAATTAACAGTATAACTTAATGGCGTAAGCTGTAATGTTGTATATGTAATTTTTCTTAATAAATAAATAATAAATGTTTTCCACACTGGTTCCGTACCTTAGAGATAGAAACGATATCTCTGCGGTTGGTCTGTCGCAAGAAATACACTCTCCTCTACGTGAGACTCTAAATCGCCAAATTCACAGTTAACAATTAAATATTCTACTTTTCAATACTTACGTTGTTATTTAAAAAAAACTTGTCCTTTAAAGATTTATAAAAATTGGACAATTTATATTAAATATCCATTTTTCTGGCTAATGTAATAAAGGTAAAGTAAGTTTTGTGTTAGACACGAAAAAAATGATTACGTCACAAAGTCACAATTGGTCACAAGTCTCTATAACATACAAAAATAAATGGTATTGATTTTTTTGATGTTTCGTTCAAATAATGGAATTTGATGAATAAAATAAAAAAAAACAAATACCGGATTGGGAGTAAGTGTAGTTTGCAAGTATACCATTGGCGCATTACCACCACCAAAAACAATAGCTAAGTACTTTGACGTATGAGCGCTCCGTTTGCAAATTAAATGAGAACTACTAAGGCCAATAAAATAATTCCGTACAAAAATTACTTACTTAACTACAATTAACCCATACTGAATGGTTTCAGTATTAGGCGCAGTACATTTTTGCTCATTCTACTCCTTTCAAATCAATCGAAATAAGCTTGAAAAAACACAATAAAAAAATTAGCACATACCATGGTGCATGGCAAAGAGAGCTATGGCGTCGGGCGCGGAGAAAGGGGAGGGCACGAAGCGCCATCGATAATTAAAAAACAATATTTTTATATGTAAGCAGTGTTGTGTTATTACAAACACAAGTGCAATTCATCTCTGTTTACGTATGTATGTGTGCGTCGCCATTGCATGTTTGTACGATAATCTACTAATTATATTAGCCGACCATTATTCTCTGAGTAGTATTATTAATATACAATATACAAGTGAATCAGATTATTAATAACTTGACTAATTAATACATTTGTTTTCTTGTTATCTAGGTATGTTGTGATGACCATGTTTGTATTTATTTCCATAGTTTCAATTAATTTAAATCCTTAAAAATTTATGTTACCGCCCGTCCACTAGTTTGCCGTAAAAACAAATTCTTTAGTTAGAGGATTTTTTTTAAAAATGTAGTAGTTATTGTTTTGTGTCATACCATTTATTTATTTTCTCATGTCGGGGGATGATGTGGGTGATAACCCTCTTCATCGCACATATCGGTTGAAGAATGTGTAGGTGGATGTTGAACTTTAAACTGTTTCAAATAAAATGTTTGTTTATCTTTGTAAATTGAACTTTTACTCGATAACATTTCAACTAAGCTAAATAAAGTCAGATTTCTTTGTTGACTCATAAGCTAGATTTTCGTTCTTTCCTATCTGACTATTCTGAGAAAAATCACGATATTGAAATCGTACTTCACACAGTCTTACTGGATTGGATATTGATTGATAAAGTACATCAAATATTAGTTCATTTACTTTGCAACATTTTTAAAGTTATAATTTATAAAACTTGGTATTTTTTAGCTTTATGGCGCATACAAAGAAGAAATATGTCAATCATTAAAAATAAAACAAAATGTTTTATAGTGTTGGGCAAACAAGTTAGGGTTGGTTGCAGGGATGATATTCTCGGTGTGTACTACATTAGAATTCTATGATAGTTTCGGTAAAGTACCAACAATAATCATCGTTTTGAATGACTAGGACAATCCTTAAAGGCCTCCCCAAACCCAAAATCTCTAAACCCCTAATCCCCAAGGTCCGCAACGCAACCACCTTCAAGCTCCTAAATTGTTGCGGGTGTCTATTGGCGGCGCTGATTGCTTACCATCAGGTTATCCGCATGCTCGCCGTCCTATCACATAAAACAACAATAACATTCTTATTGAATATTACTATGATGTGTGTTCGTAAGCTAAACACGAGGGCATGAGAGTTTGCACCATGGTTTTAAAATAAAACTGGTTCTCTAATATCTGGACTATTTTTAATACATGTTCCCCTAGTCATATAAAGAACGTACTGACACATTATTCAAAATACCTCCATTTACGACGTAACCGAAAATTTTTCATTATTTTCAGTACCTAGGAAGCAAGGAGTGTGTATCAAAATTTCGTCTAAAACAACCCAATAAACAAAAAATAGATAAAAAACGCGTGATGCAAAACAATTTTATTTCACGTTCCACAACCAGTTCGAAGCTCCCAGCTCCCACTAGTAATTTTGTTTCTCTCATCCTACCTGTTACATACTCACTCCGAACTACGCCAATTATAACTTAGCTCGCGATAATATGTAACAGCTTCCTATTTTTATTTTATTTCAACTCAAACTACATCCGTCATAACTGTGTTCGAAAAGGTGAGATGTAGTTACATATTATACTAGCTATTCTTGCGCGTTTTCACCCGCTGCTTTGCTCCATTTGACCGTAGCGTGATGTTGTATAGCCTATAGCACTCAGGAACATTGTAGCTATCTGAATCTGTAAGATTACCCCCTACATACAAACTTACAAATTTTACCTCTTAATAATATTAGTAAGTATAGATTGTCCGAAAGCTGTATTAATCAAGCTAGCGTGGGAGAGCCATGCTTCGGCACGAATGGGTTGGCTCAACCGAATTGATACCGGATAACCGGCTACACATAAAAGGGGCATAAAACAAACACAGCGTTGTGTTTCTGTTGATTTCGCCGTGTAAGTGAGGTCCAATTCTCTCCTTCCACAATCCGGCGGCAACGTAGTCGTTATTCCTTTGGTGTTATGGTTGTCAATGAACGGCGCCGATTGCTTACCATAGATAATCCGACTGTTCGCTAGCCAGTAGCTACCCCATCTCATAAAACAAGAAGATCCGAATTCTCTCTAGGGCGTCAGGAGGAGAATAGCTCCCTCACGCGATCCGCCTCCTTCTTTGCGAGCATGACTGCTTTACAGAAAGAGAAGACGTCGTCCCAGTACCTCTCGCTCCGCACCATGGCCTCGACTTACACGACACTTCCCCGAGGACAGGGAGGTGCTCAGTTCAAGCAGGGCACACCACCTTCGTATGCTCCACCGTGTCCTCTTGGTGGTCCTCACAATGACTACACTCGCGCGTTTCCTCCCGCTGGATACGAAACAGGAACCTACCGAAGCTTGATACCTTTAGGTTAGTAGTTTGTTTTAATTAGTAGTTAGTAATTGGTTTTTGAAACTTTTTAATCTTATTTTATAATACAAGTCACAACATTAGTTTTTAAGAATAGTTGTAAGGCTATAAAACAACTTCTGTTTTAGACGAAAGGTATAATGTCATCCCATAGTTAGAATAAATGACTTCGAGTAATTAATAAACTATTTTAAATATAAGTTGAAAGACAGACAGAAGTACAGACTTTCATATTAACTCTAAATTCCTAATACATATTTGTTGAGTTCCTAATATAAAAAGGAACCTATTTTCATTGATGCTTAAACCATAACAATTAAATAGACTATATCGAGCTCTTGAAATACAAGATGTTACTAAAAATAAGCAATCGTGCAACGGATTTGAAAACATGGCGGCAAAAGGAGGCTACAATGCAACGGGCGAATGCACGATGGCGGGCGGAAAATACGTAAAACTCGACAATAATTTGAAGAAGAAATATAAAAGAAAAGGCCTTTATGTTATTTTTTTTAATAATTAAGAAATAGTTCTATATTTGAAATATGTTTTAAAATGTCTATTACCGGCACCAATTTGATTCATAGCACAAAAATGTATGAAGTATATGAAGCACGTGAGAGTTTTAGCTGCGCATGCTCTATGCCCCCCTCCTACAGGTCACTACACGAGACGCAGTATCCCGCGAATCAGCTACCTCCGACGCGGCAGGTCATTGGCCGAGGCTTAGCGTATTCACGTCAGACCAGCTCATACCAGCTCCAAGTTTCTGCTGGATCCTGACGCAAGGCGGTCGTTGTTAGGATACGCTCCTAAACCACCGGTCGAGACGAATCGCGCTTACTTTTTTTAATTAAAAGGTCTATGTCATAATTATTGAATTACTTCTAAAATATTTTTTTTTAGTTTAAATAAAGTTCAAATTATTTCTGAAAGTTTGTGTATTTTCAGGGTGTGTTTTTTAAAAGTTGAGACTTGTTGAAAGTGATGAATACCAAAATTGTCGATTGCGGGCTGTGCATTTCAATAGTACTGAGTTCCCATTCAATTAGCAGATTGATTTTTAAAGACTTTTTTTTCTTTATTCCTATTTTTTTGTTTTTCGCTGATGTGAGTAAAGATTCACTTTTGGAGCGGTTACAGAATATTTTGAACAAGGTAGTTTTTTAAAATATATTTTACTTTTACAAATAATACGTCACTTGTACTCATTATAATATCATATTTAATTAAAATTGCATTTTTATACTGATTGTAGGTTTTATTAAATTGCAAGGTTGATTTAAAAAAATACTTTGAAAGGACTTAATAGTTTTTAAAATATTGTATTTAATTCATATTTAAGTACATTATTGATGTTATCAAAAATAAGTAATTATAATTTAAAACTAAAGGTTAAAAGTTATAATACAATCTATTTAAAGCTATAAGTCCTTACAAAGTTTAGTTTTAAATTCTAGTTTTAGTCTTAGTTTTAAGAAAACCTTGTAATTATATAAACCTGTTTATTTTT